TTGATTTAAACCAAAAAAACACCACACCCACTTGTAACCCCCCCCCCCCAAAAAAAAAAATCAAGTCACATTGACATGTCATGTCACACAAGTCACATTGCCAGTTCATGTCACTCAAGTAGCTGGGTCACAGTGGTGGGGCTAGCACTTTTAGTGAATGCTGATAGTGAAAGGTGGTGTGTCTTAATCTTAAGGAAGTTTCTTAGCAAAGGAAAGAGGAAGTTGCTTAGATCCTGTTTGGAGTCTCCGAATTGTATGTATCGTTTTATTGACTGGTCCAGGTGGGGTTGGGGGGGGGGGCGGCTGTGTAACTCGAAACTTTCTACCGTCAGCATTTGTTGGTTTAGTGGTTGGTTTCTTGATACCGTGTGAAGGTTGACAGGCAGCGTTGTCTCAATGCACAGACCCACCGTGAAGTCGCTCGGTGAAAACCTTCGATTTCATGTGTGGTCGGCTGCCATATTATTTCTTAAGGAACTAGTTTTAGCCCACCAATGCGTGAACTTCTCATTTCCTAATGTTACTTCATAAAACATGCATTCAAGTAACGGAATTTATAAGAATCCTACTTACTGCTACCCAGCCACGCCCCCCCCCTCCTTTTTTTTTTTTTAGGTGCACTACCTCCCAACTTTTTTTGCGCCTCTAAACTTTATAAATATTTGAATATCCCAGTCTCTTTCAACCCCCAGTTTTATTTCCTAATGTTACTTCATAAAACATGCATTCAAGTAACGGAATTTATAAGATTCCTTCTTACTGCTTCCCCGCCCCGCCCCCCCCCTCCTTTTTTTTTTTTTTAGGTGCACTACCTCACAACTTTTTTTGCGCCACTAAACTTTATAAATATTTGAATATCCCAGTCTCTTTCACACCGCAGTTTTATAACACCATATTTAGATTGAGACTGCCCCCTTAAAACTAAATGATAGATTGCGTACCAAACGCACTTGCGGTTTCTTAAGAATCTCATAGTTATCGGGAATTTTAATTTGCGCTCTAATGAAATCACCATTTGTTCCAAGATATATTAAAAAATAATAATAACATAATAAAATATTATTTAGTGTTATAATCATACATGTTTGATAAAAGTTCTAGAAATGTCAGAGACTTCCATTGGATCTGAAATCCGAACACTGACGAGCGGTTTTTAAAATATGACACTAAACATTGCACCCATCGAGTCAGTGAGATTGTGCGGGCCATGCTTTACACGTTTCCTGCCATTGTTCTCTGAGTGGACAAGCAAGTGTATTGTGGGGCTCTATCCTGGTACCTAGTGACAGCATCGGTGCAGTGATACTGTTCAGATACAGCTGACCCAGCTTGACACCAGGACAGGATTAGCTGAGAATTGTTGCTGTGTCATCATGTCATAGCAACGTCATGTGTCTTGGAAAGAATAAAAAACTTGCTGCGTCACGAACAATCAAGCCCTGGCATGTGTTTCTGAACCAGGATGTTATTGTGTAGGCCATGGTTAAGTGAATTCTCCCCCTTGGTAAAAGTCAACAATTGACTGTGTTGACCTCAAGTGGTGCGTTTCATATTTAGACTTTTCTGATGCTTCTAGACTCTCATTGTCGGGAGTAAGTTAGAGAAAGTTATTCCATTGTCACTCAATAGATGAATACATGACTTCATTTATTTCATTCATCCTCAACTAAATTAACGACGTCATTTCTTACTTTTCTTTCCGTTAATGACGTCATGTTTTTACTTTTATTCACATTTCCCTTAATGACGTCATGTTTTTACTTTTATTCACATTTCCCTTAATGACGTCATGTTTTTACTTTTATTCACATTTCCCTCAATGACGTCATGTTTTAATTTTATTCCATTTTCCTTTAATTACGTCATTTCCTAGTTTTATTCACATTTTCGTTCATGGCGTCATTTTCAACTATAATTCACAGTTCCGTTAATGACGTTTTTCCTTATATTGAATTCATATCCTCGTGAATTAATTAGGATCTTACTTTTTAACTTATTCAGTTATATGAATGACAGTGAATGACCTTTTTCATCAACAATTTCTCTCCAGTGACATTGGTTCTGCTTAACTGTGTGTATATGAAATACGTCACAAAGATCCAGACATTTTTGTCAGGGAGCAAACTGATTGTTTTGCTCATCATCATAATCTCAGGGATATACAACCTGGCAATAGGTGAGTAGATTGTTGCTTACACTAGGATATGCCTGATGGATGTATGTACAGTGCTGCTAACATTAGGATGTAAAGGGGTCCTTAGAGTATTAGACTATGTGGCCCTTAGATGATTCGGCTAAGGTGATGTACAGGGGTCCTTAGAGTATTAGACTATGTGGCCCTTAGATGATTAGGCTAAGGTGATGTACAGGGGTCCTTAGAGTATTAGACTATGTGGCCCCTAGATGATTAGGCTAAGGTGATGTACAGGGGTCCTTAGAGTATTAGACTATGTGGCCCTTATATGATTAGGCTAAGGTGATGTACAGGGGTCCTTAGATTATTAGACTATGGGTAGGTACAGTAGTCCTCGTATTTGATGAATAGACTATGGATAGGTAAAGTGGTCCTTATATTAGATAATTATACTATGGATATGTACAGTGGTCCCCCACATTAGATGATTTGACTATGGTTAGGTACAGTGGTCCTCACATTAGATCATAAGACTTTGGCTGGTACATTGGTCCCCCCAGATTATGTTATTAGACAACGGTTAGTAATAGCGGTTTTTACATTAGGTCAGTGGTTCTAAACATGTGGGTCGCGACCCCTTTGGGGGTCGAATGACCCTTACACAGGGCACGCCTAAGACCATCGGAAAACATATTGAAGTAGCAACCAAAATAATTTTATGGTTATGGGGGGGGGGGTCATCACAACTTGAGGTACTGTATTAAAAGGTCGCGGCATTAGTAAGGTTGAGAACCACTGCATTAGATGATAAGACTATGGTTAGGTACAGTGGACCCCAACATAAGATTATTAGACTTTGTTTTGGTACGGTGGTCCTTACATTAGACGTTGTATAGGTGCAGCGTTCCTCACATAAGGATTTTCGTAGGTACAGTTCATAAAGTTTAGTTTCCTGTACAGAATAATCAATAACTTGGTAAAACCTTGATTATGACCTGGCTAATGTTTTCTCAATTGTTCGGTACACTAACTCATACACAGGTCCATTGCATGATGGGAATGATAGCATTAGCTGCTTGTTTTCTTGTGTGTGTTTGTGGAGCAATCTCGTGTTTAGAACATGATAAACGTCAGCTTGGATCAAAATAGTATGTGGTTTTTAATGAAGTAGTATGGCCGAGTAATTCTTGTGACTATTTTTTTGTTTGCACGTCTGTAGGTAAAACTGAAAACTTCGATGCCCCGTTTGAGACAACAACACGAGAACCTGGTCAGTTTGCCGTGGCCATCTTTTACTCCATCTTCTCTTACGGTGGTTGGCAGGTGATGACGACACTGCTGGAGGAGGTCAAGGACCCTGGAAGGTAACCCCCCCCCCTCTCTCTCATACCACCAACATTTTAAATCTCAATTAAACTATGTTTAATTTAATCATATATCAGTTCAATGAGGGCACTCAATTATTGTTACCCAGATAATATGACATCCTCACACTTACTGACTCACTGACCTATGCCTTCATTTCAGAGACCCGCCCCGCTCCGTGTACATCTCATTCGCCATCGTCATCAGCAAGTACATCATGGCTAATGTTGCTTACGTCACACTGCTCACGCCTGCAGAAATTGTCGGATCGTCTGCTGTGGCCTCGGTGAGTTGCCCCACCACATCCGGGGTGCAGTAGAGCAATGCTATCATTGTACGTCTTGTGTCTATTCAAAAAAATATGTACATGTATGTACAAACTCCAGCTCATGGTGCCGCTTTAGAGTTATTTTTGCCGATAAAACAGTACTTGAGCATCACGTCATACCTTTGTGTAGCGTCCATCTCCTGCTTTGGTTACGCCGATGTCATTGAAATTCTTTATATTTCTTATCATTCGTTCGTGTCTATGTGTGTTGGAGATATATGTGTATGATTGTATGTACATCTGCGTGTGCGTGTGTCAGAGTGTATGTGTTTGATGGGATGCATTAATGTAATGTGTATATTAGCATGTTTGTGTATGTTGATTTGAACCACTGACATCCTAAATAACTCAACTTTTGTTGATATCCTCAATGCTGGCCATTATGGTTTTTGTTACACCGTATAGCATGGAAATTGTATCCCTTCAAATAGTATTTATCGTGGTCTATCGTTGCATTACCGTTACAGAAGACATCATTGGACGGCTGATCTCAACTCACTCAAACCTCAAAGCTGCGCAGTTCTTTCAAATATAAATTGTAAATAAATTTCACGTGTACATTTCAAAGTAACACCCCACCCCAGCGCCCCCCCCCCCAAAAAAAAAATTGAATTAAAAAAGATAATAAAGATAAAAATTCATCGCCCATATCAAAGCTGCGCAGTTCTTTCAAAAATAAATTGTAAATAAATTTCACGTGTACATTTCAAAGTAACACCCCACCCCAGCGCCCCCCCCCCCAAAAAAAAAATTGAATTAAAAAAGATAATAAAGATAAAAATTCATCGCCCATGGACGGAGCTAAAAGAGAACGACGACTTTGAGTCAGCGAGATCTGAACTAGAGAATACGCCATCTAGTCGAGTCAATTCACTTCAGTACTGATCGCCGGCTCCATTACCCCATCTATATCAATTAGCGCTATCCATTACTGCTTAAAAGCGCCACCCGAACAGGTCTCCATTGTTCGTCCCGACAACAATTTGTTTCATTGACAACTGTTCTGTGACGTACAGTCAGCATCCAAACATCAGATGTACAGCAAACATACAGGGTAATGGACGTGGGTGGGAGAGATTGGGGAGGTGACCTTCAACCCGGACTTGACATTCGTAGATGATCTACCAAACAACGTGTTTGTTTTTTTTAGAAAAACATTTTTTAAAAAAAAATTTATGTTTTCGAATACTTGATTAATCCCAGCCTCGTCGGATCATGTTTAACGTTCAAATGTAAGTTCAATGGTCACTAATGAATGAATAGTGTGTCGTGTCAAACTGTATCAGTTATAAGAATCACAACTTTTACATCATTGTTTGGAAATATTGACACCGTATGAAAGATGACCTAGTTAATAAACCAGGTCAGTCAAGTTAAATCTGGTCTGCCCCTAAATCTAACATTCAACACTCAGGTGAGCCGCTTATTCTAACATTCAACACTCAGGTGAGCCGCTTATTCTAACATTCAACACTCAGGTGAGCCGCTTATTCTAACATCCAACACTCAGGTGAGCCGCTTATTCTTGGATTTAACCAACAGGAATGCCTCCCCCCCCCCCACTTTTTTTTGTGTACATTCATCACTCAGGAGCGCCCCTTAGTTTAATGATTAACCAGAAGGAGCGCCGCTTATTTTAAGATTTAATCACCAGGTGTGATTCTTATTGTAACATTTCATTAAAGGTGAGCCGCTTATTCTAACATTCAACACTCAGGTGAGCCGCTTATTCTAACATCCAACCCTCAGGTGAGCCGCTTATTCTTGGATTTAACCAACAGGAATGCCTCCCCCCCCCCCCACTTTTTTTTGTGTACATTCATCACTCAGGAGCGCCCCTTAGTTTAATGATTAACCAGAAGGAGCGCCTCTTATTTTAACATTTCATCACCAGGTGTGACTCTTATTTTAACATTTCATCACCAGGTGTCACTCTTATTTTAACATTTCATCACCAGGTGTCACTCTTATTTTAACATTTCATCATCAGGTGTGACTCGTATTTTAACATTTCATCATCAGGTGTGACTCGTATTTTAACATTTCATCATCAGGTGTGACTCGTATTTTAACATTTCATCATCAGGTGTGACTCGTATTTTAACATACCTTCATCAGGTGTGACTCGTATTTTAACATACCTTCATCGGAAGCGCCCCCCTTTTTCGAACATTTAACCACCAGGAGCGCCCCTTATTCTTACATTCCAACCAGCGATGAGCTTCTTTTACATAACAACATATCTTTACCGATTTGTAAACCAAAATTCCTATAGCTCAGGGGTTGTCACTAAGTTGTCAGCCTTTTTGTGCAGAGAGCCACCCGAGAGATGATTTGGAAGATTTATTTGTTTGTTTTGATGCGCCGTGATTAGTACAAAGACAGTTGACCAATTGTACAAACAGGTGATTCCTTCATTTTCAAAGGTTTTCGTTGTCAAATGGAAAGAAAGAAAACTGAATCTTGTAGCGATGCTTGGTGCAGTTTTGAGCCTTGGCCATCGGCCCGCCAAACTTCAAAGTATTTCTAACACTGGTCTACAGCATATTATTACTGTAGACGTAGGTGCATATGTCGTCGCATGAACTCCACATTTTGAAGCAATCAAGTAAAGTTAATCCAATGTACCGAATAAGAGACAATTTTGTTGTTGTTGTTGTTGTTGTTGTTGAAATAACGCTGACAATTAGCATTGCAGTGTCCTCTTATTAAAACAAAACAACAACATCAACAACGTTTGATAATTTTCTAAAACTACCGTCGAACTATTGTGGAGAGGTCTTAAAGTACAATCCACGGTACTTTATTGAAAAACAAACAACGACCATAAAATGAAAACTAGGTTAATGCCTTGTCGTTTTCATAAGTAAACAATTCCTCCCCCCCCCCCACTCCAACCCCCCCCCTTGCGCTAATGCCGGAGACATGGGACACAACCCACAAGTTAACATACATTAATTACCTGCCGGTGTCTTTAAAATTGTTTATAAAACCTTTTAGGTCAATGGGTCAAAATATGTATAAAAAAATAATAAAATCTCGTCATATGACCTTCAGTCTCTAACTTACAAAACAATCGTAAGGTCTTCTTATTTGCGGAACGGAAACGTGAGGCCCGCGAACAGGTGCCGGTCCTCGGGGACCACTTTGGGCAATGCTGATGTATCAAATACAGAGACGATGCCCTACTTCCATCAGAGGTTATTAGTTCATCCTGTCGACTTCGTATGTTAACATAGAGTTTAGAGGATGCTGTATATTGCAATAGCGTTCACCAATCTACATATATTACCACACAAGTCATTCAACTGCGCATATTACCATAGTGCCCGCCCAACGACGTATGTTTGCATGACACCCACACAACTGACTATCATTGTGTACCCCTCCCCGTCACCATCTGTTACAAATCTCATAAAACCACCCTCAAAGTAAGACACGCTTTCGAACTACAAAAATTGTTAAAAATTTAAAAACGTATTACAGTATAATCTAAAATACACGTTGCTATTAAAATATTACATTTATCCAGGTGACATCATTAAATTATTAAATTTCTCTATGGGACATATTCTGTCAGAATGCATCCATCGTAGCAAACAGTTCAACATCACTTTCAAAATTCATGTTTATATGATGTAATTATAAAATAATTTAATTTGTGACGTAACGCAAGATATTAACCACCACCCCCGTGTCACAAGATACTTTCTTTGATTCCCCCCCCCCTCACACTTCCGGAGCGAGACGTACTTTATGGATGCCCCCCTTCTATTTACAAAGTATCCATAAAACTTACTTACGCTTGCATACAACTCTCTCCATTTCGTATAATTACATGAGCATCCTTCCATTTTACATAGCATCCTCATTCCTCACCAACACATATGTTTACCATGTCCGTCTCATATCTTGTCATCTTATATGTTTAATATGACAGTCTCATCTCTTGTCTCCTCCACATCTCCAACAACACTTCCATATTCACAGAGCATCCTCACCGACACATATGTTTACCACCACCCTTTCGTCCGAGCAACACTTACCATATGTTCATGCTATTGTTGACTAGATGTATTTTGTTCTCGTCAACAGGACTTCATCCAGCGGATGTACAGCCCGCTTGTCCCCCTTATTTCCGTCCTTGTAGCCCTCACGTCCATCGGTGCCCTGAACGCTTCCATTATGGGACACTCCAGGTACGGACATGACTCTTTACAATAGCTGCATTGATTTTTTTCTCAGGCGCGTCATCAAAATCCGTTTTTCCTCTTTAGTTTTTTTTTTTTTTTAAACGTTCCATTATATCTTCATTTTTTTTGAAAGAAATCGTTTTTAGTGGTCTGGTGTTAGCCCACGTGCGGCCCCCACATCGTAAGCTACGGTGGATTAGCTTAACAAACCTCAAGCTGCATTGATTTTTTTCTCAGGCGCGTCATCAAAATCCGTTTTTCCTCTTTAGTTTTTTTTTTTTTTTAAACGTTCCATTATATCTTCATGTTTTGTGAAAGAAAGCGTTTTTAGTGGTCTGGTGTTAGCCCACGTGCGGCCCACACATCGTAAGCTACGGTGGATTAGCTTAACAAACCTCAATCAACAATGTTGGCATGAGAGTGGTGGGTATTGGATCAACATGACATGAGAGTGTTTGCCATTGTGATCAACATGGGCTGGGAGTTCGTGGATATAAAATACATGATTTCCTGGGTTCAATTCAAAATATGGCAATTAAGTGATAGCATTGGCTGACATAATTTGGTAATTATGTGATAGATTGGCTGACATTTCGTGCTTATCGGATGGACTGACATTTGGCAATTATGGTCTAGCTTTGGCTTACATTTGGTAATTAGGGTATGGGACTGCCTGACATTTGGTAATATGGGATGGGACTGGTTGACATTTGGTTACAACGCAACGCGATTGGCTAAAAATATTTTCAAGAAACACCATGTTCATGTCCATGTCAAAGCCATATTTTGTGTTCAAAACAATCTCCTACTTTAATGAACACTAATCCTGATGGTGTTTTTTTAACCATTTCCTAGATTGTTGTTTGCTGGTGCCAGAAATGGACACATGCCTCAGATCTTGGGAATGGTCAATGCTAAATATTTGACCCCGTGGCCTTCAATCTTTGTTTATGTAAGTAAACGCTGTAGATTTAAAGATTGACCTTGTAGGTTGATGGGTAGATCTAAAGATTGAACTTGTAGGTTGATGGGTAGATCTAAAGATTGAACCTGTAGGTTGATGGGTAGATCGAAAGATTGAACTTGTAGGTTGATGGGTAGATCTAAAGATTGAACTTGTAGGTTGATGGGTAGATCTAAAGATTGAACCTGTAGGTTGATGGGTAGATCTAAAGATTGAACTTGTAGGTTGATGGGTAGATCTGAAGATTGAACTTGTAGGTTGATGGGTAGATCTAAAGATTGAACTTGTAGGTTGATGGGTAGATCTAAAGATTGACCTTGTAGGTTGATGGGTAGATCTAAAGATTGAACTTGTAGGTTGATGGGTAGATCTAAAGATTGACCTTGTAGGTTGATGGGTAGATCTAAAGATTGATCATGTAGGTTGATGGGTAGATCTAAAGATTGAACCTGTAGTTTGATGGGTAGATCTAAAGATTGAACTTGTAGGTTGATGGGTAGATCTAAAGATTGACCTTGTAGGTTGATGGGTAGATCTAAAGATTGAACTTGTAGGTTGATGGGTAGATCTAAAGATTGAACCTGTACGTTGATGGGTAGATCTAAAGATTGAACCTGTAGGTTGATGGGTAGATCTAAAGATTGTACCTGTAGGTTGATGGGTAGATCTAAAGCTTGAATCTGTAGTTTGATGGGTAGATCTAAAGATTAAATCTGTAGTTTGATGGGTAGATCTAAAGATTGAACCTGTAGGTTGATGGGTAGATCTAAAGATTGAACCTGTAGGTTGATGGGTAGATCTAAAGATTGATCATGTAGGTTGATGGGTAGATCTAAAGATTGACCTTGTAGGTTGATGGATAGATCTAAAGATTGAACTTGTAGGTTGATGGGTAGATCTAAAGATTGAACTTGTAGGTTGATGGGTAGATCTAAAGATTGAACCTGTAGGTTGATGGGTAGATCTAAAGATTGAACCTGTAGGTTGATGGGTAGATCTAAAGATTGACCTTGTAGGTTGATGGGTAGATTTAAAGATTGTACCTGTAGGTTGATGGGTAGATCTAAAGATTGTACCTGTAGGTTGATGGGTAGATCTAAAGATTGAATATGTAGGTTGATGGGTAGATTTAAAGATTGTTCCTGTAGGTTGATGGGTAGATTTAAAGATTGTTCCTGTAGGTTGATGGGTAGATTTAAAGATTGTACCTGTAGGTTGATTGGTAGATTTAAAGATTGTACCTGTAGGTTGATTGGTAGATTTAAAGATTGTACCTGTAGGTTGATGGGTAGATCTAAAGATTGAACCTGTAGGTTGATGGGTAGATTTAAAGATTGTTCCTGTAGGTTGATGGGTAGATTTAAAGATTGTACCTGTAGGTTGATGGGTAGATCTAAAGATTGAACCTGTAGGTTGATGGGTAGATTTAAAGATTGTTCCTGTAGGTTGATGGGTAGATTTAAAGATTGTTCCTGTAGGTTGATGGGTAGATTTAAAGATTGTACCTGTAGGTTGATTGGTAGATTTAAAGATTGTACCTGTAGGTTGATGGGTAGATTTAAAGATTGTACCTGTAGGTTGATGGGTAGATTTAAAGATTGTACCTGTAGGTTGATTGGTAGATTTAAAGATTGTCATCCAACACCGAAGCAATAATCTGCCACCCAACCCAATGACATTGTCACTGGGCATATGTCCTTGGCATCTAACACAATGACCTTTTCACCAACTACAAATGACAATTGTTAATGAAACAATGACCTTGACCCATATTGCGATCGCCTAACCTCTCTGTCTTGTCACGTGATCAGCTTGCCTGGGGGATGGTGATGTTGTTCACCGGTGGTGTCACCGACATGATGGACTTCATCGCTCTGTTCTCCACCATCATGGCCATCGTGGTCATCGCTTCTCTCATCTACCTGCGCTGGAAGAAACCCGATGAGAATCGTCCTTATAAGGTAAGAAAGTTAACCAAAGGGACATTCTCGGGCAAGATGTTTATTTCATACGGGTTTTCTGACAAATGATTGAATGTTGAGATTTGACCTTTCTAATGGTTTTCTGACAAATGATTGAATGTTGAGATTTGACCTTTCTAATGGTTTTCTCACATGTGATTGAATGTTGAGATTTGACCTTTCTAATGGTTTTCTCACATGTGATTGAATGTTGAGATTTGACCTTTCTAATGGTTTTCTCACATGTGATTGAATGTTGAGATTTGACCTTTCTAATGGTTTTCTCACGTGTGAGTGAATGTGGAGATTTTTTTATCGGTTTGATAGACGTTTAATGAATATGTCAATGATGAAGTGTGGCATTATGTACCACCAGTGTTTGTGGTATATGTGTGACATATATATATGATTAATTGTGGCATATAATTGATATCTCAGTGCCTGATTGGGTCATATAATTGAGATTTCAGTGATTTGGCCATATTATTGATATGTTAGTGTTTGATTGGGACCTATAATTGAATTTGATATGTCATTGTTTGCTCAAGTCAGAGAATTGAGATGTCGGTGTTTGATTCTGGCATAAACTGGCAATGCCAGTGTTTGACTGGGGCATACTTTGATTGATCTAATGATTGCTTGTGTCCCTCCCAGACCATGTGGTTTATCCCCATCACCGAGATCATCGTGAACGTGGCCGTCCTAGTTCTGGCCATTTACCAGAAACCCAATAAGATGGGCATTGGGCTCGCCATTCTATTTGCGGGGATCCCCGTCTATTGGTTCGGCGTCCTATGGAAGAACAAACCGCGAGAGTTCACGGAAATTGTTGGTAAGTTGTGCCACCTTCGTTGTTTTATTTTGCTTCTTACCGGTGGCGTAGCTAGGGTGAGTGCCGCCCGAGACGGTTCACTCTTTTTGCCCCACCTTTTTATGAAAGAAACTCTACAGTGGACCAAAAATGACATCCCTCATTATAAGGGGGGAAAAAAATTGCCGTCCGGGGCAGACCGCCCCTTCCGCGCCCCCTTTCATACGCCAATGTTTCTTACACCATCTTCATTAAACCAAATATGTTTTTTAATCTCTGATTAATTTTTAAAAAAATGATAATTCCTCTTCAAAATTGATTAATGAAAGAAGAGAAGAATAAAAAAGTGTATATCATAGAAAGAAAATATGTTTATTTATACAATTAAACATGTTAGGTGAAATAGTTTTTATATTTTATTGTCTACCCAGTATTATTGGGCTAATAATATACTTTTATGAAGGCATACATTTCTATAACCAGTACTAAAACTATAATAAAATGTTGATACTCGGTAAATGAATGCTTCATTGGTTTTTGCTCTTGTAGATGGACTTACAGCATGTGCACAGAAACTTTTCCTACTTACTAAAGTCAAGAAATGAAGAAGAAATCCGAAAGTTTAATGGCGGTGAAATGCTTAAGACTTGATCCTTATAGGGATCTAAGATGTCCAAGCAGAGGCCCCATGATATTCGGAGTAATCTTTTGAGAATCTCGCTACTCTGCCACCCATTGTACACAATTCTCATCATTCACATCCTTGTGTAGTAAAAGGCCTTATATGAAGCCCAGCCTTAGATTACACAGAGCCTTACATCAGACACAGCCTTACATTACACACAGCCTTACATTACAAACAGCCTTACATTACACACAGCCTTACATTACACACAACCTTACATCAGACACAGCCTTACATCAGACACAGCCTTACATCAGACACAGCCTTACATCAGACACAGCCTTACATCAGACACAGCCTTACATCAGACACAGCCTTACATCAGACACAGCCTTACATTAGACACAGCCTTACATTAGACACAGCTTTACATAATGAGAGGCCATAAATACTATAGACTAACAATACTTCATTGTCTCAAGCTCACTACACTCTATAGCTCGATGACAACCATGTGATTGTATCCTGTGACATTAGATGATNCAGACACAGCCTTACATTAGACACAGCCTTACATCAGACACAGCCTTACATTAGACACATCCTTACATTAGACACAGCCTTACATTAGACACAGCCTTACATTAGACACAGCCTTACATTAGACACAACCTTACATCAGACACAGTCTTACATTACACACAGCCTTACATTACACACAGCCTTACATCAGACACAGCCTTACATTACACACAACCTTACATTACACACAGCCTTACATCAGATACAGCCTTACATTACACACAACCTTACATTACACACAGCCTTACATTTCACACAGCCTTACATCAGACAAAGCCTTACATTACACACAGCTTTACATTAGACACAGCCTTACATTAGACACAGCCTTACATTAGACACAGCCTTACATAAGACACAGCCTTACATCAGACACAGCCTTACATCAGACACAGCCTTACATCAGACACAGCCTTACATCAGACACAGCCTTACATTAGACACAGCCTTACATTAGACACAGCTTTACATAATGAGAGGCCATAAATACTATAGACTAACAATACTTCATTGTCTCAAGCTCACTACACTCTATAGCTCGATGACAACCATGTGATTGTATCCTGTGACATTAGATGATTCCCATGTGCCATGTTTCTATTTAACGTGCAATCTATTCAATACCTGAAGCCGTTCAAGGCTTGTACAAATGTGATCATTTTAAAATGTTTGAATCTTGTAATTGTTTTGACATTTTACTTTATGATTTTTTTATAGTTTAATTCTACAACACCTTGTTCTTTAACGTTGTTCATAGTGTATTTATGTTTCGTCATGAAACTATTCTCAAATTACATGTACATTTTAATAAAGATAATAATGCTATAATTTATTCATGTCTCTTTAAAAGGACACTCCTGTGTGTGTTCATCTGTCAGACTTCTCTGTGTGTCCACCTGACGGACTTCTCTGTGTGTCCGTCTGTCAGACTTCTCTGTGTGTCCACCTGACAAACTTCTCTCTGTCCGTCTGACAGACTTCTCTGTGTGTCCGTCTGACAGACTTCTCTATGCCCGTCTGACAGACTTATATGTGTGTCCGTCTGATAGACTTCTACGTGTGTCCATCTGACAGACTTCTCTGTGTGTTCGTCTGATAGATTTCTCTGTGCCTGGTTCAACAGACATACCAATGTAATTGTATTACCACAATTGCCTCGAGGTTCGCCACTTAGCAATAAATGTTCGTTCTGTGTGACGTCATGGATTTGACTATTCCCCAGCCAATGTAATAAAGAGAATTAAATTGTCTGCTGGAACCGGAAATGAAAGTCTGATAGCTATAAGTAAAATGTAGATTTATTGTTTACAACGGGATATGTTTTTATTGTAGCAATGAGATTGGATTGTTACTGTAGCAATGGGATAGGTTTGTTATTTTTGCAATGAAATATGTTTTTTTTTTATTGTAGCAATGGGATTAGATTGTTGCTGTAGCAATGGGATTAGATTGTTGCTGTAGCAATGGGATTATATTGTTGCTGTAGCAATGAGATCGGATTGTTAATGTGTCAGTTGGATAGGTTTGCTATTGTAGCTTATGGGATAAGTTTACTATTGTAGCTATGGAATAGGTTTTTACTGTAGCAATGGGATAAACACAAGCCTCAAACTAACTCTAAATTCCCAAAGGTATACTCACCAATCATCTGGGAAGAAGAAAGTCGGGCTACTCACCCTAGGTTTCCCCCTTGAGCAGTCTTGGTCATAAAGAAAAAAACTCAGGAACTTCGTCCCCATGCGTTCCTGCAAGATTAGAGCCACGCACCCATCCATCTATAAATAAATACGTCAATCCATCTTCGTATCAATCTACAGATCAATCAATCGGTCTAACCTATTCGCATGTCGTTAAAACTCATGCAATGACTTCACATTAATCCATGTTTTCATAATAGTCTTACATTTTATCCGTCCCAATGTATTCTCTTCATTACTTCCCATCGTGAATCCTTTCGTTATCTTTGTATATCTATCGTTTCGTAAATATGCCCGTCGCTATGCCCTTCTAGTGTTCTATAGTTCTTCTGTTTACATTTACCGTTTATCTTAGAGTGGTCGACGAACGGGGGGGGGGTGGGTGTTAAATACTCCAAGTGATGTTACAATGACAATCATGGAGGGTAATTGGTAATAACGACTCAATAGTCATAAATCAGAGAAACGCACCCCACGTGGTGTGGTTAGAAGTGGGTGGCTTTGGCCACTAGCTTGTCATTTGGCTCTAGTCGTCTATTTGTTAAATCGTGTGCTAAAAGATACCAAGATTTGCACAGGCTTTCAAACTGACACATGTGGAACCATTAAAAAATATGCTGCCTTTTGAAACAACCATCCTTTGCGAACAACCTACCTTTGCAAACAACCTACCTTTGCGAACAACCTACCTTTGCAAACAACCTACCTTTGCAAACAACCTGCCTTTGCAAACAACCTACCTTTGCAACAACCTACCTTTGCGAACAACCTACCTTTGCAAACAACCTACCTTTACAACAACCTACCTTTGCAAACAACCTACCTTTGCAACAACCTACCTTTGCGAACAACCTACCTTTGCAAACAACCTACCTTTACAACAACCTACCTTTGCAAACAACCTACCTTTGCAAACAACCTACCTTTGCAAACAACCTACCTTTACAATAACCTACCTTTGCGAACAACCTACCTTTTTTGAAAACAACCTACCTCTGCGAACAACCTACCTTTGCAAACAACCTACTTTTGCGAACAACCTATTTTCAGAGGCGTAGCGAGGGGGTCAGGGGGGGACAGACGTCCCCGGGCGCAAGCTAGTTAGGGGCGCCAAAATGTGCTTTGATATTGTATTATTGGTAAAAATAATGGGTTTGAGAGTTGAAAAAAAGAAAAGGGGGAGCTTTAAAATGGATTTTGTCCCCGGGCGCGAATCTTGTCCCCGGGCGCCAAACACCCTCGCTACGCCTCTGCCTACCTTTGCGAAACAACCTACCTTTGCGAACAACCTACCTTTGCTAACAAGGGATTTACACTCTGATTAACTTTAAAAACATGGTATAGAAATTGATAGTACTCCTAAGATAATTGCTCTGACATCAATAATAAGCTCACATTTCGATGTTATTGTAAAAATGTAGCATCTTCTCTCTAAAACCTGGTGTTAACTGTTTTCGAAAAGGAATCTCGTTGGATATTGAGAATTTTATTTAATCTATTGTCACATTTTTTTAAACGTATGGTTCTATTCTCCCTATAAATAGATTCAGTAAATCATTTTTTAATTGACATACTCTATGGTATTTTCAAATAGGAGGAAGTAAACAAAAATATTTTGTAGCAGCTAAAATGTTCCCCCCACTGCTGACCTTTCATCATCATCTTTGGTTAGGTTAATCAACCTCATATCCCAACCTCATTTCATTCGTCCTTTATCCCTTCTTTACATCTCCTTCACCACTCCGCCCATCCTCCCTCTCTACACACACCAATCCTCATCACACCAATCCTCATCACACCAATCCTCCTCACACCAATCCTCCTCACACCAATCCTCCTCACACCAATCCTCCTCAAACCAATCCTCCTCACACCAATCCTCCTCACAGCAATCCTCAAAACACCAATCCTCCTCAAACCAATCCTCATCACACCAATCCTAATCACACCAATCCTCATCACACCAATCCTAATCACACCAATCCTAATCAAACCAATCCTCATCACACCAATCCTAATCAAATCAATCCTCATCACACCAATCCTAATCAAACCAATCCTCATCACACCAATCCTAATCACACCAATCCTCATTACATCAATCCGCATCACATCA